AAAATAATGGTGTAACCGCGCTTTATGTTTTGTGCTACTGAACAATTTTTAGATATTTGCAGATAGGTTTCTTGAAGTGTTTATGCTTTCAATGATTAGCATGGTTTCTTTTTAGATTTTAGATGGCTTTACATTCAAGCACATATTCCTTTGCATGCACATCCTTTAAAACAAATAAATATGTTTTTAATAAATATGCTACCTTATGAAGTTTAAGTCTAATCAATTACTGTGGTGGGAATACTAAATAGACAGAATTATGACATATGTTGTTTTCCATGATTTTAAAACATATTTTAGCTCAAACTAAAGCATTATGTAAATAGTATTTTCTTTCTTTTATGTCCAAGAATTAAAACAACAGGATTTCCTGAGCATTTCTCAGTTGGGCTGTATTTAAGTGTCTGTGGTTTTTAAGAATGTTATGCATGTAAGAAAATACGCTTGTGCATTTCACAAGTTAGGGTGTGTAGCAACACTTCTTTTATACACATTAGTTTGGAACATAGGCTAAAGTAGCGCATGCTTTTTACAGTGAAGTCATACTCTGAGCCTCCTGTTGTACGCATTCACTGATGCCATGCACCTAATTTTAGGGGTTGCATAATGTAACAAAATGGGCTCCTTTGAAAATATACTTATATGACTAAAAAAAGAAAGCTAACAGAACATGCACAGACATGCTTTTTTTAGCATGTGCATTGTTTACATGACATTGCATATATTAACTGTCACACGTTACATTTTTATGAAAAATAAGTTTGTAAGTAAAACGTGTAAGTTTCTAATTTTTGTGCACCATAATGCATACCATAATGGAAGGTACTTGCAGGTAAATATGCAAATTATTTAAAAGCTTTAAAATGTCCTGTTTTGCTTTACAAACTTGAAATTCTTGCTATCCCAGTAGTATCTGACTCGAAACCACTTTGATCAAGTACATGTGTCTGAAAAAGTGGCTGATTATCTTTTCATGATCCATGACTTATGCAAACTGTCATGTAGGCCACCCCTGCTGGATGGCATGTTAGCTTTTTCCCAGTATGTGTTCTTACTGTAAGTGTCTTTGTGTTCGTTACTGTCATAATCAACTGCCAGAGTTTATTTGCAATATTCATGACTGCAAGAACAGAGGAAGAATGAAGGAACCTGGATATTTTCTTGAATCACTTTGGTGTAGCAGAGGCATAGTCCCAGAAGCCATTCATTCATTTTCCTTCATCTTAGTCCCTGATTTATCAGAGGTCGCCACATCAGAATGAACTGCCAACTACTCTGGCATATTTTTTACGAAGCAGATGCCATTCCACCTGCAAGGTAGTACTGGAAAGCCCTGGAAGCTGGCAGCTAGCTCTCTACAACTCTCACATGGTCGCTCACTGAAGCTTAGCAGGGCTGCACCTGGCCAGTATCTGGATGTGAGACCACATGAGAAAGCTAGGTTGCTGCCGGAAGTGGTGTTAGTGAGACCAGCAGGAGGCGCTCAACCTGCAGTCTGTGTGGGTCCTAATGCCCCAGCATATTGATGGAGACTTTCTACTGCTCAGTCTGATGAGACATCCAATCAAGGTCGTTAAAAATCCCAGCATGTTCTTCGAAAAAGAGCATGGGGCATCCTGGCCAAATTTGGCCACTGGCCTTTGTCCATCATGGCTTCCTAACGATCATAACTGGCTTCATCACTTTCGCTGCGTCCGAAACCGCATACTTCCATACTATATAGTATGCTAAAATCAGTATGTGAGCCGAGAAGTATGTCCGAATTCATAGAATTCGGAAATCAGTATGCGAGAAGTACCCGGATGACTTACTACTTCCAGCGAGATTCTAAAGTGCGCATCCCTTGCATGCTGCGCTATCCCATGATGCCCTGCGAGCGATTTCATGAATGGGAGTAAAGCGACACAATTGATGCAGGTAGGTCACGTGACGTAATGGCGAATGTAGTATGTCCGAATTCCATTCATACTTTTCACATTCATACTGTATAGAACGTACTTTTCTAACGGCCGAGTAGTACGTTTAAATTCAAATGCAGTATCTACTGAGTAGTAGGCGATTTCAGACGCAGCCTCTGTCTTCTCTCCACCAATTAGCTGGTGCATGTTGTGCGGTCTGATGCAATATGGCTGCTATCGCATCATCCAGTTGGATGCTGCACACTGGTGGCGCGTGATGTGAATACCCCCCAAAAATGTGTAAAGTGCTTTGAGGGTCCAGAAAAACACTCTATACATGTAAGGAAATTATATTAGAAGTTATTGTGGCTAAATAAAAGAGGTGGCAAATGCAGCATTTAATAATTACTTTTATTTACAGTTCAGAGATACTTGTTTATCTAAGGAGTTTCAAGGCATTGACACATGGAAAGGTGTTTATTTGCTTAAATTTTTTGTAAGGATACTGTACGTTACATATATTGAAAATGGGAAAAAATATATAATTGTATACATTTTGTAATGTTTAGATATTTTTATTTAAATGTGTGAAGGTCATGTGACTACCAGGAAGACAGCAGCATCTCACTTCGCAGGATGTGTTCTGTGTTTTCATGGCCTTCCGGGTTTGTTTTTTAAGGCCACTCTCTAGAAGAACGCTAACCCATTCTCTGCATTCTTGGTATTGAGAAACCAACATTATTTCTTACATTGTTGTAAAACCTCTGGGAAAAAACTACTTTCTTATCCAAGGTCATAGGGCCCAAAATGTACATCAGTTGTATGAAAGGCCAGTTTGGAGCTCTACCCTGCTTTAGAAAGATCCCTTTAATATGACAGCTATGATTATTTTCATTTCAAAGTGTCCAATGGAAAGTGATTTATCCCATTTATGGAAGAAACTGCTAGTTTGCCTTTACCATCAGAGCCCCTCCATCATGCCTCCATCTAAATTTGAGAATTTGAAAAGTTTTAAAGGTGCTATAAAAAAATAAAATTATCATTGTTTATTATTATGCCTCAGGGCGATGCAGTGGTGCAGTAGGTAGTGCTGTCATCTCACAGCAAGAAGGTCGCTGGTTCGAGCCTCGGCTGGGTCAGTTGGCATTTCTGTGTGGAGTTTGCATGTTCTCCCTGCGTTCATGTGGGTGTCCTTCGGGTGCTCCGGTTTCCCCCACAGTCCAAAGACATGCGATACAGGTAAATTGGGTAGACTAAATTGTCCGTATGAATGTGAATGAATTTGTGTGGATTTTTCCCAGACATGGGTTGGGACGGGCATCTGCTGCTTAAAAATATGCTGGATAAGTTAGCGGTTCATTCTGCTGTGACGACCCCGGATGAATAAAAGGAACTAAGCCGAAAGGAAAATGACTGAATTAATATTATGCCTCAGATGGATTCTTTTATGGTTTAAGGATGTGCCTTCTGGAAAAAGAACCTTCTGTCAGGATTTTGCATTTTTTCTGTTTTGTTTCTGCTTGACTGAATTCCCTGGGAGTTTCCTTGTTTGATAAAACGTGCAAAAAAATCCACTACAGTGTTTTGCATACCTTGTTAGCACATACAGACTATTACTTTAACATTACTCAGTTTGTTACTATTTAATAATGTTGACGATAATGTTGCAGACTGCATTATACTGTAATGATAATGTTGCGTCTCTGAACCAATGATGCTGTCTCATTTAAAAATGGATTACAATAGCACTCTTGCCCTGATTCAGCTAAAATGATAAATGGCTTATAATGCCCCTATTATGTGATTTTGAAAATCACCTTGCATGCTGCATGTAACACAGCTCAAAATAAATCAAGACATCCAGCTAAGGTTTAAATCTAAAGGTGCACCATAAAGCTATTATCTCTTAACAAAGAATCAATAAATCAAGTCGAGGACCACAATGGAAATAAGAGAATAGGATTTGTGTGTGTATTTTATTCACATTCATTCATTTTCTTTTCTTTTCGGCTTAGTCCCTTTATTAATCAGGAATCCAGCATATGTTTTACGCAGCAGATGCCCTTCCAGCTGCAACCCATTACTGGGAAACACTCATTCACACACATACACTACAGACAATTTAGCTAACCCAATTTACCTATACCACATGTTTTTGGACTGGAGGAAACCCACGCGACACATGGAGAACATGCAAACTCCAAGCAGAAATGCCAACTGACCAGCCGAGGCTTGAACCAGCAACCTTCTTGCTGTGAGGCTGTCGTGCTACCCACTGTGCCACCGTGCTGCCCTTTATTCACAACATTTTTTGAAATATGTCTAAATCAGTCTTGTTGGACTAGTTTGTTTTAAATGTTGTCAAATACAACAAACAAAAAACTAAAGAAAAAAACCCATGAGACTAATCATCGCAGATTAGAGTCATGAAATGAAGGGGTTTGGAAAAATGAATCACAGAACAAATTATATGGGAGCTGTTTGGATAATTAGGTAAAAATAAATGCATTTTGTAAAACAATGAAAGTGTTTTTTTGACCTTGCATATAATGCTTTTGTTGAGGACCCTCCTCAAAACCAAACTTTAACCTTTTAAAATGCATAATAGGGGAACTTTACATTTTTTTACTGGTGCACAGCCAAATTATCAGGACAGCACCATCTGTTGGTAAAAACAATAATCTTTGTGGCTTTGCTTTACTGACCTGTGGCCTCCAATAGTTTCTGGATGCAGACTTGGATTTGAAACAACATATCTCAGACTTGCAATGTCAGACACTGTCTATTTATGTAAATGTATCATTTTAGGGGACAGCAACAGTCATCAAAATCTAGAACCAGACCTGAGGATATCTAGTCAGCCTACAGCTTATTGTATTTTTTTTAAACAAAATTTCAAAAGAAATACTAAATGTTGTGTTTGATATCAATTAAGAGCAGATTTTGTGTTCTAGAAACTACAATAATTAATGATATAAACATATAAAGGATTAAAGGTTATGACTTGCTAATATTATATGCTCTGTTGAACTTGTGTTCATATTCATCATGCTCTTATGTTTTTATTAACTAACTAATTCTGTGTAAACAAATAATTTGTGCAGGAAATCTACATTGCCCAAAATGCTGTACAGAAAACAACCAATCAGATAATCTCAGTAGGTAAAGTATACCAAACAAGATATAGATATTGGGGTTTTATACTTAATAATAAAATAATAATAATAAAACAGAGCTTTATTATTGTTGTTGTTATAAATATATAATAAATGGAAAGCAATGCTAGCACTAACGTTTTTGAAGAGGACAGAAGGAATATCTGTACTTTTTAGATAATAATAATAAGTATTATTCTGTATTTTTTTATTATACAATCTCAATTGACCTTTGTTTCCTATTACAAAAGAAGTACCATCGAGATTAATTTGGGTGGTTTGTTGTATATGGTCGTTGCTAGAATAATTATTTCTGTAATATTTTATCAAATAAAACTAACATGCCGTTAACATATTCCCTGCACGTTCTGGTGTAACGTCACAGTAATACACGGCTCTAATTGGCTGCTGCAGAAAGGCGGGTCTAATCTTCAGCGCCTAGGAAGAACAAGACGGCCATCTTCGTGAGGTCGCAGGCCTTTGTGGTGAGTTTAAAGAATAAATCGCTAGCATTGTTCTGGTCAGAAAAGTTACCAGCATTTATATTTAACAGTATGTATTTATATTGTTTTCAAATGAGCAAGATGCTTGTTGCCATCTCCAGCATCGGCTGCTTTAGCAGCCTGCTATGTTGTTACCTAAAGACGACACTGCAGCCCTAAACGTGAGCTGACATCAAGTCATGTCAATATAAGGCGATCGATAGTCGGCTGCATTTTAAACTGTTTAAACAGAAAGGTTTACGATTATAGCCTTTTATCACCTTATGGCTTCCAATCGATTAAAAAAGAAAACATTTAATTCGGAGAATGTTAGATAAACAAGTCAATGTGATAATGACAGTTGCGAGTTTCTTTTTGTATTATTGTAATTTTTATGATTAATCATGTATTATTTTGGTGTTTATAAGTTTATTGTATTATTTTTTTATGGCATTTTACTATTTAAATAAACTTAATCTTATTGAGAGATGATAATAAAAGTTAGATCTGGTGTCATTTAATTAGATGTATCATAATCGTGCCATGACTGTAGGTTAACGTTACGTAATTTCTGATTCAAAATGTACATTTGCCCCATAGATGCCCAGACACTGCTCTGCTGTAGGTTGCAAGTCACGGGACACAAAAGACGTTCGAAAATCCGGAATCACATTTCACAGGTGCAAGTTTCCAAATGCTGATATTTCATCATTTATATTAAGTTGTTTTCTTTGTTCTCCATGACCCTTTTAAAACAGACCTATGATGACTAGGGTCAGACAGAATCTGCAGACATTTTTTGCTATGCTGCTGAGAAGTTTGTTAAAAATCTGCGGATTTATGCACAATAATTTTGAAAAGTATCGTAACTAAAAGTAATACAGTATATGAAATTAAAAAATGTTTTAACTTTTATTTAATGTTCACAATGCAAATTCAATTAGATCCACTTATTTGGTTAACAAAGCAAGTCTCTCATATTAGTCAATAATATTATTGAAATTAATTATAAACTGAACAAATATACATTTACAAACATTTACACGAGTAAATAAATGGACTCAATGATTAAAACTCAATTTTTAGATTTAAAATCACAATAGAAAGTGTTTGTAATGACTAAATATTTAATCAATGTGCAGTCTACCATTCCATCTGAATTGAGATATGCAATGTCTTGGGTCTGCACAACGCAAACTAGAATGAGTATCTATCCTTTAGTGAACAATTCACTGAATTATTGGACATTATTTACACTGACTTGTATTGGCAAAAAACATTGCCGTTATTGTCTTATTTTGTGTGAAATGCAGTGTAAAAGATATGTTTCAGCTCAGTGGTATATCAAATGATCTTTCTTAATGTTGTTTATTATGTTAAATCTTTGAGGTTGCCAAAAAAGGGAAACCCTCGCCGCACCACCTGGATTATCAACTCTCGTCGCAAAGGGCCTGAGGGAAAAGGACAGTGGGACCCCCAGAGTGGATTCATCTATTTCTGCTCTAAACACTTCACCCCTGATAGCTTTGAACTCTCTGGAGTCAGGTCTGCAGCATATTAGAGTGACAGAAGCAATGACCAAAATATAATTCTGATGTTAAAATACATTATAGAAAGAGTGAATGTATAATAATTTCAGTACCACCTTTTTCTAGTGGCTATCACAGATTGAAGGATGATGCGATTCCCACTGTGTTTGAAATTGAGCCTCACAAGAAAGGCACTGCTGGGAAACGAAGAGGCAGACCTCGAAATGTGGACAAATGTACCAGGTATTTTACAGAACTACACACACCAACAAGTCTTTCAGATAAGACGTTAAACTGAGGTCCTGACTCACACTTCTCGAAAAGAGTAGGGGTGTAACCCTGGTGTCCTGGCTAAATTCCCTCTCAGTCCTTACCCATCATGGTCTTCCAATCATCCCCATCCACTGAATTGGCTCTATTACTGTCTCACCACTCCACCAATATCTGGTGTGTGTGTGTGTGTGTGTGTGTGTGTGTGTGTGTGTGTGTGTGTGTGTGTGTGTGTGTGTGTGTGTGTGTGTGTGTGTGTGTGTGTGAGCGCACTGGCGCCATTGTCCTGTGGCTGCCGTTGTATCATCTAAGTGGATGCTACACACTGCTGGTGGTTTGGAGAGACCCCCCTTCGTGATTTTGAAGCGCTTAGGGTGTATGGCCATACACAATAAATGCGCTATATAAACACACACATACACATTATTTCTAGTGAGCTTTCCCTCATGACAACAAAAGTGTGGTTAATTGTACTGAATGCGCAACTATTGTATTTCATTTTTAACAGCATGCAAAAAAATTGTAAATTAAAGGATTAAGTATATATTGCAACGTAAAATGAAATGTTAATTTTAAGTACAATTTACATCTAAAGTATATTTAATGTGTTGTACAAAACATTACATTAAGTTCACATTTATTTGCAGAGCTTGACAATAACTTTTTTGATGACTAGCCACTGTGGCTAGTAGTTTTCCAACAATTCTAGCCACTTCCCATTTTCACTAGCCACACTTTTGTTATTGGGAAAGTGTATTTTATATGGATAAATTTGACAATTTTTTCAATTTTGTGTTAAGTCCACATGCCTCCTTGTTAATTTAACTTTTTTCCTGGCCACATCAAACTGATTTATTTCCTTGCCACAAATGTTAAACAATGTGTCAAAACAAGCTAAATATAGCTGTATACATACACTTTTTATTTAACAAAATGTTCCTAAAAAAATAACAATTTAATTTTAAAAAATTATTCTCATTTATCTAAAGCTATAGTTTGTCCAGGCTGAAGGTCCCAGATCATCAGGTAACTATAAATAAAAAGGGGGTTAATCTCCTAATTAAGCTATGATATTGTAAAGGATGATATTTAAACCACATTAATTAACTGCAAGTGAAAGAAAGCAGGTAAAAAAACATTCTGTCTGCTATAGTGAAGGGATGATCACATGCACACGGTTAGCGTTAGGCCCATTAATAATCTGTTAAAAAAAAATGATAGCGCCAACAGCTGCTACGTACAAAATATCTGGAGATCTCTTGAAAGCAGCAGGACTGTGGATGCACAATTACCGCTTTTTTCCAATCTATTTTAAAAAGAAACAATCACACCAGTTGCGTTTCCAGGCACGGTTGTTTTGCACAATGAAATGGTAGCTTTTAAGCACTCGCATGCTTCACATCAGCTGTGCACCACTCTCATGAGTAGGGATGTGAATCTACACTGGTCTCACGTTTTGGTTCGGTTTTGATTATCATGCCATCAATTTGGTTCAATTCGAAATCTCGGTGCATCACTGACGATGCTTTCCATAAACAATTAGATATTTTACTTAGCAACACAAGAATTTTTGTATTAAAATGTAAAATTTATGAATATTTATATATTATTTGTAATACAATTTTGTACTTTAATACAAGCAGTCGTATATATGTACTATACCTCAAATTTTACTTGCTCAAAGAAAACACTCTTTTTGAATCCATCAAACAAAACTAAAGTATATGCACAGAACAACATGAGCATTTAGCAAATAAACAAATGTAAATATTACCTCGCTTACTTTTTGAGTATTGGTGAACGAGTTTTTTAATGCCTATGATTGGTCACACGCTCAACAGAAAAGGCTGCGATTTCCTCTGGCGCTGTTCAGCAAACAGTGATATAGACACTGACTTTAAACGGCCATGGCAATCAGCTGATCTAGACGCCGACACATGGAGAAAACTCACTCTGCAGACATGCTCGTGTCTGGATCCACAAGTAACGTTATTGTTGTTAGAGGGACAAATTGTTACCTCACGAACATGCCAGCAGGCCTCAGAGAGTGAGACTTCCCTGTCAGTGAAAGACGGTTCGCCAAACTCACAAGAAGGGAATTGATCTGCTTTAAAAGTAATTGGAGTTTTAAGTACTATCGGTCTCCTCCCTCGTCATAGTAAGCTACCACCATATAACGCATATGTGATAAATGATGTTGTACATAAAAACCGGTTATGATTATTACTCAACCGATATCGAATTGTTTGCATTTGCATCACTGTGCATCGAAGAAACAATTAATTTTGACTTCCCTAGTCGTCAGTGAGTATCGCTTATGTCTCACTTTGCACCCGATCATCTTCTCATTCAGTATTCCCCTGCTTTCATTTGCTCACATGAACAGTTCTCAATCGTGCTGCTGCTACATTCTAAGATCAAATTTGCACGCATATTGACAAATGGTCCTAAACTAAAATTTTAATCTTTAGGGACAAACACCTCTGACAATTTAAAAATTATTTTCAACGAGCCAAAGTGGCTAGTGGGAGTGACTCTCTAACCCATCACAGCTGAAATCTATCCACATTTGGTGGGTTGCTGGGTGTTAATGTCAAGCTCTGTTTTAGTAATATTTTCAGGTACTATTAATAAACATGTACTTCTTTTTCACAACATTTCCACCTCAACAATGCATTTTTTTTTACTTTTGCAGCATTAAGAACTCCACCAAAGATGAAGCTTTTGAAAGCCCAGAGATCTTCACCAATGCAACTGTAGCAGACACAGACAATGAGTGTGAAAAAGGGGAGGACCACCAAAGTCAGCCTCCTCCCCAGCCTTCATCTGACGCTCCTCAAAACTCTGATGAAACGACATTAGAGGATCAAACACCTGACCCCCCTTCTCCTCCACCTTCTCCTCGTCCACCTTCTCCATCCTGCTACATGAAGCGTCTCCCTCCACCTCCTGGCTTTTACTTGCCGAAAGAGCACAGCTACGCTCAGCTGTGCCCTCTAGTGTGGCGCAAGCGTTATGACAAAGCCATTGACAGCTTGGAAAAAGCACTGCGTCTTCTGAGTGCAGCCCGACGGAGGGAGAACCGCCTGCGTAATGCACTGCTGCGCCTCAGAGAGAACCGACTAAAGAGCACTCTACTGCGTGCACGAGATGGGGCGAAAGGGAAGGAGGTCAAAGGAGGAAGGTTTTCAAGTTGGGCTTCTCAAAAAGGACAGGGGGTGAAGGTGGACAGAGGTTGCAATCTTGAGGGATTGGAGGAAGGCACAAATGAAGGCACAACTGATGAAATCGATCTTATAGCTGAGGGATGGAACGGACAGACACAGACAAAAGGAAAAGTCACAGCAGAAGAAGAAGAAGGCTGCTGCTTTTATTGCGGACGAGACAATGAAGGAAACAAAGTAAGTGGGTATAAGGAGGCACCTGTAGGACCTGAGGAAGTTCAAGGATCCCAGGTGAAACAGAAACCTAAGAGAATCCAAGAAGTCAAAACCAAAGCCAAAGTGATCAAAGAGCAAAAGCCAGAGATCTCCAGGACTGATGTTTCCCCTGTGGAGCAACAAAGCTACTACTTGTATTACTGTGAAAATGCAGAGAACGAGGACGCGATGCAGGTGGTAACGATGGAATTGCAACCACACCAACTGAGCACCGAAGACGAAGCATCTCTCGAGCTCAACAGCACTGCAGAAGCGATCCAGCAAGTCGCTCTACTGCATCCAAACACTGACCTGCACACTGCTCCGGGACCTGTTCAGTACTCGGCAACGCTACAGGAAACTTCAGCGCCATTCCAGCTGCAGCAAATCCAACTGCTTCAGCCACATCAAGGACTTTTTCTCCCTGACCTCGCCGCAAAGGAAAACAGCGAAATGGAAGTCGAGCAGCAGCATTTATACTGGGTTCAGGACAGGAGTGATGAGCATGTCCTACTGATGCAGGTTCCTGAAAGAACCGAAAGGAACCAAGTAGATGTTGAGACTGTGATTGAGACTTTGCAGCCTCAGGCAATTTTGGAGAGATTTCAGACAAAGAGCACTGAAGAAAGGGATGTACTGACAGTCAAGTGTGATTCCACTGCATTGACGTCTGCGGGGTGGGAAAATGGTCATCTCTCACACCAATCAGACCTAAGGGCCACAGCAGTTGGGGTCGATGTCAGAGAAAGACTGAAGGAACATTTAGAGGGGTTTCAGCTTCAGCTTAGCAGTGAATTTATAGATTGAATGACTCGACAGGACACGTTTCTGCTGTTGTATCACAATCAAATGTGTTTTTTTTTTTATTCTCCACTCAAAGAACATTTACAGCATTTTAAGTTGAAATGTTTGAAAAACATGTTTAGCATTCTATTCATATGCAGGCAGGAGGATATCATTTACTAGTCATTTTAATTGAAAAGTCATAATTTAATAAAACTCTTCGTTATTAAAATTTGCATGTTTAGTTTACAATGAAGAAGGACAGTAAAAAGTGATGTGAAATCTATGTTTGGTAACCCCTACTTGGAATTTGTCCTCTGCGTTTAAGTCACTGGGGTACATTTGTCCACATTAGGACAGTGTTTCTCAGGCCCCGTTTACACTATTTCGTTTTAGTTTTAAAAAGCATAAATCGCCTCTCATCCACACTAGAGTTTTCAAGCACCGAAAACAGAGCTTTTTGAAAATGCTGAAGAGGCTGTTTTCATTTTAAAATGCTGCTGCTCTGTTTCAGTGCATGTCAGAGCGTATGTGTGTGTGTGATCATGTGATGTGCGTTTTCAGTGGTATAGTGTGGATGGAGAGTTGCTCAGAAACTCTTGGTGAAACGCTAGTGTGGACGCTGATAGTTTTCATTATAAAACGCCGTTTTAAAACTAAAACGTATTTGTGTAAACGGGGTCTCAGTTCTGACCTAAGCACCCCACTGTGCTGCACATTTTTAAGCTTCTCTTTTCATGTCAGACGTTTGTTCAAACAACAAGTGCCCTGCAATTGACTCCAGATGATATTCTGCCATGATTTAAGTTTAAAGAGAGCAGATATGGTTCATTCAAATGCTATGTAAACTCATATTTATTTGTGAACATATATTATTTCACACATCTTTTGGAAGACTCTGTGCTCAGGGATTCTACCGGTTTCAGCAAGTCAAATTTAAAACTTTATAAGACCTTTTTAAGACCATAAATAACTTTTAGACTTGTATTTCATGGCTTAACGCTAAGGATATTTTAAATGGCCCAGCAGAATTTTTTTACTTGCCCCATCAAAAAACGAATTCTAGCTATTTCTTAGCCACATATTCAAAATAATGTGTCAAAACAATCAGACCCTAGTTGTATACATACTAACTTAAAAAAACTCTTTAAAAATAAAAGTAAACTAAATGTATGCACAACAAACTGTTATAGTATTAATTATAAATAGAGTTTTTTTTAGATGTATTGTTGGCGATTGGATATATGTTGAATCAATTGGGTAGCTTTACATAAACAAAGGAAAATTAGGACCTGTTTAAAATGATTTAAGGCCTTTCATTCATTCATTTTCTTTTTGGCTTTCCAGCATATTTTTTACGCTCCAGATGGCCTTCCAGCTGCAACGCATCACTTGGAAATGATTCAAGACCTACAAGACAATATTCCTGTGAATTCTGCAAAAGACTTTTAAAGACCCAGATTATTAGTTTTTGAAATTTAAGACTTTTTAAGACCCCATGGAAACCCTGAGTGCTGTTTGGTAAATATGTGAACAAATGTTTCAAAATGTAATAAAGGTTTCTTGTGCTCTGGTAAAGTAGAAGGGACTAGTGCTCTATGCACACTGCCTAGCGATGTGTCAATCAGAACATAGTGTATACTAGGAGCACTTCTAATGAGCTGGTTATCTAAATCAGCTGGGTTGAATAACAGAGACCTGCAAAATATGAAGATCAATTGGGCGTGAGGACCAGGATTGAGAAACGCTGCATTAGAAGCAATGAATACACAAATGTCTCATTTCCCCTGAGTGGTACAGTTCAGTGCATTTATGTCTCTTTCCACTGTCAGAGGTAACAAAATAAGAATAATTTTTGTTAGGGTACTTAGCACTACAATATGGTACTAAAAGAGTGGAGCTAAAATCTCTGCCGAGTGCTGATTGGTTTACAGAGAATCATCTCTAGCTTGTGCAACAAAAGTACATAAGGGAAATAAAATATAGTAAGTGGAACTTTTAAATGCACTATAAAAATACTATGACAGCGCAAAGCAGTGAACCATGGTCGACTCGAGCTCAAACATGCCATATGCCAAGAAGAAAGAACAGAATATACTGTATCTCTTTTTGTTGTCTAAACGGTACTTCAATAGATGGAAATGCCAGGATTACTCCTTTAAGACCTAAAATAACTGAATTGATTTTAGAAACCACTTTTAAATCATTTAAACCCTGTATAGTATTGCTGTTTTTCCATTTGTCAATCCAAACCATTTCACCCCCCCAGGTTTTTTTTTTATATATTAAGTTTTTAGTTATGATACTCCTAAAATCATTTCACATAAATCTGCAGATATTTAACTAAATTTTTCACAGAAATAGCAAAAAATGTCAGCAGATTCTGTCTGACTCTAATAATAACTAAAACAGACATTGATTAAATATTTTTTAGCAAGGATGCAGGGATGAATTGATTAAAAGTGACAGTACTGTTACAAAAGATTACTATATTAAATTAAAATAATAATCTATTACTTATAAAAAGTAATGGTGAGACAATGAGAGTGCTTAAGAGACCTGTTAAAAGAGTATATTTGTTGATTTTATTGAACTCAACCAATATAACAAATGAAAAGCATTCAGTTTTAAGAAGGGTTCCTTATGGTGCGATATAAGCAGCTATATAATTTTATTAACATTAATATGGTTTTCTTATATTTAACCCTTAGTTGTTGCTTGCACATAATATGACCATGCAGCTTAACTGTTTTCCATATAGGTAGTAAGTACTTTAAATGTTAAATATATTATTATACATTTTAGTCATCTGTGCTATAACATGGTTCATTAATTAAAACAATTGTCTAATATTTGTATTATATTACTATTAAAGTGGGATTTTATTATTTTTTTTTCAAATAAAGAAAGGTTTTCAATTTCACTTTAATTTATTTTTCTTGTAGTTATGCTCGTTTGAATTTAGTTTTTGTATGGAAGTGCCATCTTATGATGTAGCCACCAGAGGGAGCAGAGTAACAGTGTTGAAAAAAAAAGATTTCAATATTGAGGATCTATCAGTATCATAGACTCATAGATAATGTGTGTGCGTGAGAAAATAACTTCACATGTTTGAACATATACTTTATGTAATTAATATATGCATACACTTTTTCGATCATTTTAATATCTAAGCAGTTGTCGATTCTGGCCACGTGGCGTCGCTCTAATAGCAGAATATGAAGATGAGAAGTTTTTGCAGATGAAAAATGGCAGCATTCGTATTATAATATCATAATTTAATGGCAAGAGTTGTGTCCTTTAGTTCAAAAATGCAAGGGCCTTTTGCACCTAACGGTATAAGGTAAGCTAGGGAATTACATCCAATTGTCATGCATTTGCCATGGCAGATCAAGTGTTGTAGTGCTAATGTAATGAAGCGGCGATTAGTTGCTAAACACGCATTTGCAATTCATAGCCCTTCGGTGGATTTGTGTCATGTCTTGACATGAGCCAGCTGCTTGCTGTACAGCGTACTGTACTGAGATGTGGTACACTTTGAGAATAGTAATAATAATGTTATGACAATTGTGTAATTGCCATATAGTACAATATTAAGTAAAAGTATGCTTAAAAATGAATAGCAGCTAAATGGATATCTTAATATAAACGTCTAAAAAGATGGAAACTTTTACAATAAAAAACGGCTCTGAATAACATTTGTTTTCTTAATAAATAAATCGAATATTACATTTTACGTAAATGCATAGGTGTAATGTCATTTAGAGCATTTTCTGTTGTTTATTTTATGTTATATCGTTGCATAAAATAGCTAACAAAAGAGGTGCCGTTTCAAACATGTTTATGTTCATATTAAACACAATATCTATATATATTTACTTTAGGGAAACAGTCAAATTTTTTTTAAGTTCAACAAATAAATACTATATTTGAATATTCGAAGAAATAATATTAATATTAAATAAGACCTTTAAACATCACGCATTTTACTGCAGCCTACATATAATAAATCCAGGTAAATCTGAAAAAGAAATCTCTCTTTTTTTTAGTTGTGTGTAGTATTCCTGACCTTCCAGATTATGGTTTATGTAAATTAAATATTTAACTTCTAAAACTTCCTGTGCCTTGAGAAAAAAATTATTCATCGAGTTAAACGCAATAGACGCTTTTCATTCTGATTGGTCAGCCCGCATGAAGCCCCGCCTAGGAGCCTATATAACGGCGCCGTTCGGATGCGCTTCTCTAGATTCAACACCTGCTTACTGTTGGACTTAACTGACAGTATTTACTAACCTACCCACCAATGGTTGTTCAAGTGAAATCACGCAATCGCTACAGCAGCAAAACCATGGAAGGCAACCAGCAGAAAGTGGAAGCTAACATTTTGTTACTTGGAGCTGAAAACGTTGGAAAGTCTGGTAAGTTGTGCTGCAGCCTTATCTAATAATGTCTTAATTCATTTATACTGTGAATTAGATGACTAATGATATGTTGTTTTTCCATTACAGCTCTCACTGTGCGTTTCCTAACAAGAAGGTTCATAGGAGAATATGGAGATATAGGTAAGCAGGTTATTTATTATCACTTAAGATACTTTAACTTGCGATGCAATGAAATAGAACTAGTTTGACTCAACAGGTTTCTTTTCATTCACAGAATCAATATACAGCCACACTGACAAGATCGACGGCCGTGAGATTTGCTTCAACATATGGGACTCGCTTTGCCCACAGGTAAGCAACTTTTTTGCACATTTAGAAATAAAATCAATGCCTAAACATGTTTTTCATGCTGGTATTGACAAATTTAAAATTAATTATCTTCTAGTATGTTTTAGCCTACAGTTATTATCACTTGTCATATAGGCTACATATATACACGTGTCTCATAAATATCTGTATCTTAAAACTGACCAACAGAGAAAAATAAAGAATTATGTTGTAATTATTGGGAAAGTTGTAGGCTATGCTAATAGACAATTACTAAAAATTGAACATCTGCTGGTACCTAATTTATCTTTACTAGCAACAACTGGAGTACAGAAGTGAATTAAGTTAACAAATCATTGTGTTGTTTCAGAATGCCGAAGAGTCCGGATACATCAGTGACAGGCAGTTGCAGTGGGCAGACGGCTATATCCTTGTTTACAGCATCTGTGACCGTGCCAGCTTCAATGTGGTCCGGCAACAAGTACAGTGCATACGACAAGCCAAGCAAAAACTGGCCAGCACAGCTCAAATCATCATAGTGGGGAATAAACGAGACCTCCAGCACCGCCGTACAGTGTCCAGTGAGGAGGGCCGGCTGCTGGCACTCTCAGCGGACTGTGGGTTTTTTGAGGTGTCCGCCGCCGAGACGTACCATGGTGTTTTGATGGTGTTTCATGAACTGTTCGAGCTCATTCGAGAAGCAAAAGCGCTCAAGAAGGGCACCGCAGGGTTCAAAGGTATCGTGAGGAGCATGTCTGCTGTATTTGGAAGGAAAAGGACTGAGTAGTTACATATTTCCTCCTCAAAGTGGTAGAAGAATCAGGGATAAGCCCTTTATGGAATCCATATTGGAACAAAGACTGATTATTTAACTCAAGTGGAGTTTTACAAGTTGACAATCTTGGGGGCCATTCACACAGCATTTTATCTGTGGTACTTTAACAAAATGGTCACATTTTTGTCCATTTTCTGCATATTAAACCATGAGCATCACGTTTAAGGCACCGGACATTCCAGTTCCATAATAATAAGTTTTTGAATGCAGATGATTTGTGTGAATGGTCCTTTATTCCTGAATGTTCTAAGAATGTTCAGTTTAGATTGAAGTATAGAAACTCGCTGTTTAATATACATTTTAAACTATCTGATCACTCTTTCTACAATTGTAAGTTTTACCGTAGCTAATAAGTGCAATTGTTAGCTGAATCCATCTTAGTCCCTATGCAATTGAATCAGACACATTTCAAAATGCGGCCTCTAACATAAATTGTGACAGTGTAGCATTTCTCAGTGAAAATTAGGTCATTTTGCATATGTATTATGGTCTGTTAAACTGATAAAAGCATGTTTTTAGTTATGTAAACATCAAGTAATTTACTGGATTGTTGCATTTCCAAATTATGCTCATATTTGCCTCGGTTGTTTATTAAATTTACATAGTATAATGTATTTATACAAGTCTTAACTGTTTCATTTGATGCATTGGTAATAACTGTCAAACCCAGATTGTTGTGTGTGTATATATAGCAAGTGCAAAACTGTTATGTTATTGTTTTATAATAAAACATGAAAGATTTGAATTTCAGTGTTGATGTTTTACTTGCAATAAAATGTGCAGTTCTGTTAAATATGGATGCAATGATACATCTAAACATGTATAAATACCTGAAATGCAGGCTTCAGGATTTGTGCATTAGTTCAGGGATATTCTCACATCTAATAGATCTAACTTTGGAACAGTTCAGACCACAGGCAAATGCATAATTAATAGACAATGTACAAAAACCACACACAAATTTCAGATGTTACTGGATTTACTGGTATCCACAAAGCTGGCAAGCAAATATCTCTTCAAGTTGACCATGATTGGTGGATGTATTTAAGGGTAAGTTTACACAACAGTAAAAGCTGAATACAAACATTTTCAAAGCAATTCCCTTTCACACTGGTCCATAAAAATGACTAATGGCACCCTATTATGCATGCAAGGCCAATAGTTGGCATTAGGTCTGGGTAATTATTCTAAGATGGTTTTCATGTGCATTTTTATTAGTAAAGCTGGTTCTGAACCTCCAGTACATTTTCAGATTGAGCAGCATTTACTACACAGAGTCGTAGTTCACTGACAAAGTTTGAGTTTACAATTGAAATCAATTTATTTGAACGATAATGACATGGAGATCATCATTTTCTGTTAAGGACAGCTAGCATTGCTTGTAAATGAGCTACAGCTCTGTGTGCTACATCTAATAGCATTACTGTAAACTCACTCCATAACCTTAGTCGGATGTTTGAAATAAATCCTTCTGTAAGATGATTCCACAGTAGTATGATTATTGGTCAGGTTGAATAAGTGACAGTAGTTAAATCTTCTGTTTATTCACTGTTTTTCTGTTTTTTTCTGTTCTTCTGGACTTCATCATGTTTGGAGTTTCTGAGCGAGATTGTCCTCTGTTCTTAAAAGGAAACTAATTGTTGAACACAAAACCCTGCTTCCCTGACAGGATGATTTCAATCAATCAACCAGCCCTAGTCGGCAATGTCATATATTATTCTGAGAAGCACAAGCATAGGCTGCGTCCAAAATCACATACATCCCATATAGTATGATAAAACCAGTATTTCAGCAGAGTAGTATGTTCGAATAATCGCAAAACAGTATTTGAGAAGTACCTGAATGACCTACTTCCGGCGGGATTCTGAAGTGCACATCCAATACATGATATGATATCCCATGATGCACAGCAAGAGAATTAATGAATGGGAGTGAAGCGATGCGACTGACACAGGTACTTCACATAATCATGACAAAATGGCGGATGTAGTACATCCAAGTTTCTTTCATACTACTCACAATTAAAGTGTATAGTATGCACTTTTCTGATGACCAAGTAGTACATCCAAACTCAAATGTAGTACCTATTGAGTAGTAGGCAATTTCAACCCAGCTATAGTCATTTATATCTCCCATTGTTGCATTGGTTGTCAATATTTACACAGGCCTGTTTATTGAACATGTAACGCACACACACACACAGACACACACACACACACACACACACACACACACACACACACACACACTCACACACACACACACACAAAATCTGCTTTCTCGTTTGTTGGAAAAAGCAAGAACAAAGCGCACATTCAGAAGTGGTAAAAAAGTAAATATAACCAGTGTTGGGGAGTAACTAGTTACATGTAATTGCGTTACATAAATTAATTACAAAATAAAAGTAACAGTAATTTGTTACAGTTACTGAGAAAAATGTGTAATTAAATGACAGTTACTTGTGAAAATGTTAAAGATTACAAATGGGGTTACATCTAAAAACTTTCTTTTTAAAATTTGGGATATGTTGAATAATATTAATCTGTTGCTTTGCCTGTTTTTGACATGCACAATGCCTTCTGCTAAGGCCATTTATTAAAGCGGTGCTATTCTGATGCTTTTGATTTGCAGCGTATCCACAGGCATAAATCCCGGGGGGAACATGTCCTTGGTCTCAATGCTTGAAAATGATTTAGTTGAAAATGTCCATTAGAAACTTACAAGTAAACAAAAAGTAATCAAATGTAATTAGTTACTTTACTTTTATAAAGTAATCGAAAAGTGGTGTAATTAATTTTCTATTAAATTATGAGATTCAAATATTGCATTTTAGTTTCTTTTTAAGCAACTCTTTTTTTTTTTGCTGGATTAGCTTGTTTGATTGTCACACTTTTTGATGTACCAAAAACATTTTCTAAAGATTTAGAATAAAGAAATATGAAGGCTACTTATTTAAGGCTACTTCATGATAATATCACTAGGGGGGAAATAGCGGTCTGTTTTAAATGTAAAATTGTGGCCTATTCTAATTTATCAGGCAAAAAACAAACTGGCCAGCACATTCAACTTTCCTCAGTCTCAGAATTTGACTATAATAATAATAATGTAAAGCTTCTCGATGTTTCTAGCTTTTCTTGTACATTTGAAAATTCACGGATAACAACAATAGCCAAATAAGAATTAAAATGGGTGCTTTTGGTGCTTCACAACTTTTTTAGGTCTTTTTTTTTTCAGAAATAGGGTCCAAGATTTGGAACAAAAGTTACTTATTAAATGTTTTCTCTTTTGCAATAATACAGTGAAAGTTTACTTGCACCACATTCCGCTTGGTCTTAAAGCCTTTTTCGGTGGGTTATTCTAATAACTTATGGTGGCATAATAAGTCTAAAATAGGACAAATGAGCTTATGTATGGGACAAATTCTGTACCTTCGTCAGTGGGGGTAAACGATGATGCCATTCATATGTATAGTACACGTTCAGTCTATGGACATGCACAAGCAGTTAATGGCATCCTAATTGTTTCTATTCACTGCGCTGTCATATAATGTATATGTGCACAGGCGAAAAGTGCTTCTTTACAAAGAGACATTGCATACAACTGTCCTGACATGCATAATACAGCATATTTAGTCAGTTCACACATCGCCATTAATAGGGGTTGCTGATGATACGGTGTTGTTGTTTATATGCAAAAAAAAAAAAAGATTTTTCTGTTTCTTTGTAAAATTGTCTGTCAACCGAAGCTTGAATTTATGCAATACTGATCAAATGTGTGCGATTTTCTCACTTTTCAAGTTTCATTTGACATATTTTAAAAGACCACTATTTCAGTATTACAAAAGTATCTCTTTTTATCCATAAAAGATGTCAGTCGTACATTACTGTATGGATCATTTTGAGGGATCTAAACAAAAACAACGCTCCTAACATATTTCCTGGTTTACATTTTTAATTTCTATAGCTTCCGAGAATCCAAAAAGCTCCACATATTGATAAATAATCATATGGCAGGTGTTTTAACAAGTTGCCTCTTGTTACAGATCTGAAATAGATTGACAGCAAGCAGGAAATTTTCATGGGCCAATGACATCAGTTTGAAATTATCTATATATCAAATCTTATGGTATTAACATATTATTAAAACATTGTTTTTTTAAAATTGGGAAAATGTATTTGACTTGTTTTCTTCACACTCATTGGTTCCTATCATACACCCGGTGCAATGCGGCGCAAGGCGCAATGCAATTGTTGTTTGCTAGTTTAAGCTCGACGCAAGAGCCATTTTGACGTTTTGCACCACGCTGTTTAAATAGCAAATGATTTGAGCTCATATGTGCGCCCATAGACGTTCTGGTCTAAAAAAAAGGAGGTGGGTTAAGGCACATTGCTGGCACATTGCTATTTTGAGGAACTAAAATTTACTGTTCAATAGACCAGCAGAGAGGAGGTCTAAAGTCCAGTGCAGAGCGCGTTAGTTGTGCGCCTCGCTTAAACATTGTTTATTACACACAGGATGTACAGCAATACGCAAATATCTTTGCAAATGAAAAAGAATTAGAGGATTAAAATATATATATAATTTTTTTTTCTACCCTGCATAAATATAAAAACCACAGCCTTCATGCCTTCTTCATCTCGGGGGGCTTTTTTAGTTTATTCATGATAATTTGCTTTTGTAAAATGTAATTATTATTAGCAGTATTAATTATTATATGCATATTTATATTTGTTTTATTAAAAACAAGCAACTGACTCTTAAAGGGAACGTGAGATGAGACTCAGATTGGTTTATTGTCAAAACACACCTTTAACTCATTAAGAGAATAAGCTCAACCCTGTTAGACCATGCACCATGGCGCAAAACAAGTTTTTCCGTCCTTAAAATAGCAAAAGTACGTCCCGACATGCCCTTATTGCTTTTGTGTCCTGCGCCTTGGATTTTGCCCCTGGATTGTCAAAATAGAGCCCATTAACTCTTAAATCCTAAACATAAAACACATCAATAAAGGCTCTTAAAGAAATTGTTCACCCTTAAATGAAAATTCTGTCATCATTTATTCAGCCTCCGTTTGTTCTGAACACATATGTTGAACGCAAAAGGAGGGCGGTGTGGTGGCATGGTGGCTAGCTATATTGCCTGACAGCACGAAGGTCGCTGGTTCGAGCCTGAGTCAGTTAGCATTTCTGGAGTTGGCATCTTCTCCCTGCGTTCACATTTTTTTCCCCATAGTCCTAAAACATGCGCTATTGGTGAATTGGGTAAGCTAAACTGTCCGTAGTGTATGTGTGTGAATAAGAGTGTTTGGGTGTTTCCAAGTACTGGGTTGCAGCTGGAAGGGCATCTGCTGGGTAAAACATATGCTGGATAAGTTGGCGATTCATCCTGCTGTGGCATCCCCTGATTTTTTTAGAGGAATCTTAAAGACTGGTGGCCATTAATTTTGCAGGCACTATGTAAAGATTTTTTCCCAATTATATTGTGTGCTTGCTTGTAAAGAAAAAAAAAGAATAAGCAAACTGGATATTTGAGGACAATGATTATTTGTAGTGTAATGCCAAAGTAAACATATGTATTATCTTATTTAGTAATAGTCTATATTTAGTGTATATTTCTAATATAGTGAAAAGACAAAGCTTGAGGTATATTCCATTAGAAATTATTGGCTTTAACATGCAACCACAGAAAATAAAAAAATGCCAAAAGATCATTCCATTCCACTAAAACCAAAACAATCTCCAGTAG